AACGATTTTCATGGGTAATGAATTGAGAAAATATTCTTCTTGTTTAGGCCAAAAGCCTAAAGCCTCATGGGAAACCTCCCCCAAGAACGCAGCACGTTTTCACGAGCCTTTACCAATACCGGTGTAGATTTTGCAGGTCCGTTCGAAATCAAAAGTTATAGCGGCAGAGGTTGCCGAATGTCCAAGGGCTATGTCTGTCTATTTGTTTGCTTCTCAACCAAAGCAATCCACCTGGAAGCAACTAGTGACTTAAGCACTCAATCCTTTCTGGCAGCTTTTGCCAGATTTGTCTCCAGAAGAGGCTGTCCGAAAAACGTCCATTCCGATAACGGCACGAACTTTGTAGGGGCCTCACGATCCTTAAGATCAGAATTCAAAACCTTTATGGCAGATGCGCGTAACAGCATCGTATCAAAATATGCGATTCAAGCCTTAACTTGGCATTTTATTCCAGCTTCAACTCCTCATATGGGAGGACTGTGGGAAGCTGGAGTAAAAAGTTTCAAAAATCATTTTAAAAAAATTGCATCGAATTGTAAATATACGTTTGAAGAACTCAGTGCATTGTTGTGCCGAGTTGAGGCTTGTCTCAACTCGCGACCACTTTGTCCTTCTTCAAATAATGCAAATGACTTGGAACCATTGACCCCAGGTCATTTTCTGGTAGGCGGGCATTTGTTAGCTCCACCAGAGCCTGATGTCAACGAAAATCCCGCATCTGTTGTTAATAGATGGCAAAAGCTAAAGGCGTTACACCACTCGTTTTGCAGACGATGGAAAAATGAATATTTAATGGAAATGCAAAAACGCATCAAATGGAAATACCCTTAACACAACATTAAAGAAGGAGACTTAGTGGTTATCAAAGAAGATAACCTACCACCTAACGAATGGCGTCTGGGACGAATTCTACAGCTCCACCCAGGTTCCGATAACCGTGTACGAGTAGTGGATATTAAGACTGAAAGAGGGCTGGTAACAAGACCTCTTGTCAAATTAGTCCTACATCCGGCTCGAAGGACCACAATAGATACACTGCGCTTGCAATTCCAGGGTCCAGCGATGCGCTAGGGCAAAGGCGCCGTAGATCATTGACGGCGACTGCGTGCGTCATTATACGTGTCGATGTTCCATGCTTTCCGCGGAAACACAGCGCGCAACCTCTTTGATTCCCCATTTGTACTAGCGGCAACCTCAGCTCGTGCATTAGCCCAGTGGCAATTAAAGTCGTGGACACGCATACATCGATAAGCGCACGCACGAAATGGAGGCGACCTCCTGCCTCTATTTTGACCACTGCCGTTGGGGCCACGGCTATCATCGGGCGAAGTGTTTGTCCTAGAAGGTTTTGGGCGCCAAGTTGCCCACTTCTAAAATGGCGAGGTAGCGTTTGAGGCCTGGTCACTAGGCTACCTTCGCTTGGATGTTGGATAGATTGGTGCGATCGGAAAGGCCGTGTTTCCGATCTGCGTGGCTTATTTTTGCATGGTCGGAAAGTCCTGGTCTCCGATCCAGAGGCCTTATTTGTCTCATGCTGAAGAGGGGGTCGGAAAGTCCGAGTCTCCGTTTCCCCTTGAGTCGTAGTGCGGAAAGGTCGTGTTTCCGCTATGGGCTCTGTGGCTACAATGGGTTGGTTCATCGAATGCGATTCATCACCGGTGTCACTTGCGTGTATAGAAATCGCGTCACTTTCTTCACTAGCTACTTGGTCAGCCCATGATCTCACGCTTGCCTTTTGTTTTTGGTTTTATTACCCTTCTTTCGTCGATGTGAAGAGTGGTGTGATGCCTCTCATTGCATTTCCGACACCTGAATTGGCTTGTGCAATTCTTCTCCCGATGGGCCATTGACAAGCAATTGCCGCAAAATTGGCCAAGCAGCGCTTCGCGAAGCCTCTCTTCTGGCGACTTTCCTCGATAAATCGGACAAAGGCGTATAGGGTGTTTCCCTTCACACAGACGGCATGCGGTTGCGTAACGATGCCCTTGTCGCTCTGCCTTTTTTAACATTTTGCCGTAGCGAGTCATGTTCCTACTTGAAAATTGGTTTGATGTAATTCGGTGATGAGTTTGTTGGGTGATAATGGATATGGATATTTCCTGGTGATGGTGTTTGTGTACGCTCTTTTAGCAAGTATTTTCGTTTGAACGGTTTGATGGTTGTGGATGTAGACTCCGGTAGTGCTGGTTCTGTCTGATTAGAGTTATACGTTAAGAGCCTAATCCGGCTCGAAGGACCAATAGATACACCGCGCGTCGAAATTGAACGCACCGGTGTATGTTTATATGCGTGAGAATAAATCAAAGAAAAATACAGGATTAGTTTTATGCCTTACTTGCAGACTATTTATTGAGTTAGAATATTTGGTTACCTGTACCCTAATCTGTGCTTTTTTGATGAGGGTGATGGCTGGTAATTCGCTGTGCAGGACACGTCCGTTGGCCTTTACTGGTATAATCGCAATGCCAAGTAAGAAATTTAAGTTTGTCCCGTACGCCGTCAATATGTTAAAACCGTAATTCATGTATTGTGGTATTTAACGAAAGATAACGTAGTGGTGAATATAAACACTAGGGTGGTACCATAAGGAGGGGTACTTTAGGCTTTTGGCCTAAACAATGATCTTTCAAATATATTATACAAAATCTGAGCTTTTTAACTGCAGAAGCGATCTGCGGCCGAGTTCCTCCTCTAATATTTGCTAAGCGTCTTTATTATTCAATTGAATTAACATGAATTTGATATTGTCATGAAAGGTACAAAGATTATGGCACGGCTGAAGACAGGTCTTATTTTTTGTTTCCATGTAATTTATAGCAGCTGAAGAGTACATCTGTACCGTAAGAAATTAGTGGAAGCGTAAACTTCCTCGATCAACATAAGCACTACGACGGATTTTCGGTAAAACGTACCTCAATCGGTTCGGCGGAAAATGATAACGATGGATTCGTCGTGAAAAAGAACCATTACTAACGATCTCAAGCGAAAAGCTTATTTTCGAATTTTGGGTAAAATAGTGTTAACACCCATATAATCGTGACAATATACAGACCAAAAGCAACATAAGCTTATAAAGGCAATCAAATTAATATTTAAAACATATACAACAGAGTACAGAGTATTATTTCATTTAGTATGTAAAAACGTGAGCCGGACTAATATGGATTTAAGCACAAGAGAAGTATAAACTGTAGGTCGATCGATTTGTTGCAAAAACATCAATACGCAAAACACTAAATTAAAGGAGGAGCTCGGCTGAAAATCGCTTCAGCGGTTACAAAGCGTCAATTATATATAAATATATATATATATATATATTTATCTATATATGGATATCTTTGCCGCCAATAACTATTTTCGCATCTTTTCGCTTGGTACTTAATTTTAAATAATTCGCAACAAATATTTTTCATTGAAAAAATCCACAACATCGAAAAATTCTGGGCATTACCCGATATCATAAGAGGCATCTGGCGCTGCGATGATACCGATCGGACACCGTTCCAGAACGGATAATTAGATATCGAATCTGAACCATAAGCAGTTCATTTCCTTTGAGAACCGCTGAATCGATTTTCCGCCAAGCTTCTCCTCCAATTTGTGGTTTTGCGTCTCGATGTTTTTCCAACAAATGGAAGAACCTACAGTTTATACTAATAGAAGCTTTATTTCATGTCAGAAATACACTCGGAGATGTTGACATTCCCTGCCGAGGGGTAACCGCAATTAGAAAATTTAACTTAATTTAATTAAATTACATTATATATATTATTATAGATAACTTTTATATGTTCGTCGCACGGGGATTTGAATCCGAGCCTTACGACTGGCAGTACGTATACGTACCACTCGGCTACTGCGACCGCCTATTTCACTGATCACTTTAGAACCGCATTCTTGTATATATGCATGAGTGGAAAAATATTCATACATATTTGCCAGATATGCCAATCTATTGAGAAGAAGCAATTGATTTCTAGAGAAGTTGTTCTGAGGAGGAAGAACGTGAAACTAAAAACACTTCATTCTTGAACCCCCCACATATAATATTAATGGAGTACGTTTTATGCGAAGCTTTTTTAAGAGACTTGAGGTGAAATGTCGGTTCAAAAATAATTTAATCGTTCTGTATTGCAAACTTGATTTATCTAGTATACGTTGACCTTAAGGTATTATCATTATTGAACTGATGCCCAACAACCTTTTTACCGCTTAGATATACGTAACTGTTTTGTTACTATGGACTGAGGCAAACAGCATATTTTTGTCGCTTCTAAAGTGTCTTTGAAGAAGAAAACTATCTGAGTATGATGCTTGATAGACTTGAAAAGTATTTCTCTAAACCAAGCAATTTCAATTGAAATAAGAGGATAAGTGGTTTGAAAGTTCATTCACTTCATGGCAAATGTGGATAGAAAGTCACTACTCACTCTTCTAGGAATCTATATACCCAGGTTATAAAATTCGTTTATAGCACCGTTACTGTCAAAATAAAGCAGTAAAGATCGATGATAACCATTTTTATGGCCACAATTGGAATATTGAATATTGTGTTATTGAACAACATCGCAAAAGTTGTGATTTAACACCATTAAACCTTAAAAGTCAATATTGAACATTGCATTCTTTATATACGACTTGATTTAGTCAATTAAAAATCAAATTCGTTCCTGCAAAAGACGTGGTGGAGTCCGTTGGAATGATGATATATTCAGCGTTTAATTGTATCCATTGTGTGTTCGTGGTGGTCGTTGCGAAAAAAATTTGGCATCAAATTGGGCAAAGCACTTTCGGAAACGTAGGCTAAAATTGTAAGAGTTCATGGTGATAGTGCTCTTAGTCGTGCCCGGGGGACTATTTTGATTGGCAGAGTTGTAGAAATTTTGAAATACACATTTTTTATGGAATCAGTCTCATTACTTAATTATCACACCTCGTATGTCATATGCAATATGTGTACGTTATTAATTATCCATTTATTAGTTCTATCGTTCTCGTTCACTGCTGACACATTGCTTCTAAATATATAACATTCTGTTTACACGTTGTCCATGAACACTCCCAAACCAGCAAAGAAACAACATAATTATTATTTTTCCATCACAAAAGGTATAGACTCACTTAAATCAATTTGTCAATTAGTGCATTATATATAAAATTCACAAGCCCGTGCGAACATGCATCTATGTACAAAAGCACGTAAGTTAGCTTTACCTCTTCCCCTCGTCGATCCTACGCTAATCACTCATCATATACAACATTTCATTGTGCGGTCTAGATATGTAGCAGATCCATGTCCACTCTGAAACAATAAAATGCTTTTATGTAAGCCAATTACATATCTTCGATATACAAACATAAATACATACATACGATATACATACGAGTATATATTACCAACATCCTACAACAGTGTGCTTGTACTGTTCGTTTCATCATATTGCCCCTACAAAACGCCCGATAACCATTTGCCAGCTGCTAATGACGCTGTTGTTGTGCTAATTTAAGTTGCCATTGAGCTGAGAAGTACGCGGAAGCAATGTTTGTTAAGTTACATATACATGAGAGCCGTAGCAGCAATATTAGCTTAGCACTTACACTAAGTGCTCCTCCCCAAACTTATGCCCACTACAACCAACTTCCTTATCATTCTGAGCATGACATGGTTGAGCGGTTGAACATTTGCGCGTAATGGTGCGCTCTGTAAAGTTATTTTTATTAGACTTACAGAAGAACGGAAAGATAGTATGTATTAGGCCGACAGGTGTTATCTAGAAATATCGGTAAAATAATGAAAAGCGACAAATCTGAGTGTCAAGCGAGCAAATTTTCAATTGCACAACAGCTAAACGCTGCGTAAAGAATAGTATGAAACGGCTCGATGAATGTATGTGTGCCATATAAGTTAATGAGGAAAGCCCCATGGACTGAATTTCTATCTGTGAGTGTTTGCTAAATCGTAAAACAAATTCACCATTTCAGAAATAGACGGGAACTGGATTTTTTACGTCAAATGAAAACCATGTTGCTCGAAATACAATGAGCCAAACTGAGCCAAGCTGTTTCCAAGCTAGAAGGAAGATTTTTGTTGTGTGTTTGGTGGGGCTAGCAAACGAATGAACCTTTTTTAGCTGTACTGTGAGCCAATATACCGTCTGAAGGAAGCAGTCGCTCAGAAGAGACAAGACTTAGCCAACGAAAGGGAATTCGTCAGAACCACTGAAAGATTGGTTAGGATGTTTTTATTTATCCAAATTATAGTACAGACCTCTCAGTGATAACCATCTGTCCCTGTCTTTGGTGAATGACTTAGCTGGTATAGAATTTGGCTCAAGCAATTAAGTAGTTTTTTGGCAATTCGGACAAGGATTTCTATGAGAGGAGAATAACATTCGAATTGGCAAAGAGTTATCGATCAAAGCGATGCTAATGTGACATGTATCGGATCATTCCAACTTTGGCAAATAAAGATTTGGTGTTAAAGTAAAAATAATGAATATATTGTTACTTCAATAAATAAATAGTTTTAATTGACGCAAAGATTTGAAGATAAAAATTAACAAATTTGGTGATACAATTTTTATAACAGTATGCAAAATTGCAAGATTGCAGCAATTCACCGTTGCAAGCTACGGGCATATTTTACTTCTACGAGAGGTGTAATATGCGTGATTTGTGTAGCTTGTTTTGAAGACTATGTTGTGATGGCATGGTACCCAAATTATATCAGCTTTTTCATTACTGCACTTTATTCGCCGCATTTCATATAAGTACAAAAACACAATTTCTCAAGTACATTCATTTGCCTGAAGCAATTCTTATTTTATTTCTAGATTTTAAACCAACGAATTACATTTTTCAATTCAAATTTAATGGCTACATCTATTGACTTATCGTATTTTTTATGTTTTGAACTCTCCACTTTAAACAGACAAACCAACACAAATAATTTTAAGTATTAATAGATATATATATGTTCATGCGTGTTTATTTTATGTTGCTGCAGGTTCTCAAATGTTTTTACTTTTTACATCAAGATTGAAAAGCGACAGTTACGAGGTGTGCTCAAAAAATATCACGAATTTTGTGTTTTTTCAAAACTTATTTATTTATTCATGAATATCTTTTTTGGCCCCTTCAAAGTAATCCCCATGAAATATTTTACACTTGTGCCAACGGTTTTTCCAGTCTTCGAAGCACTTCAAAAAATAATTTTTTTATCTTGTTCAGTTCCTTCTTCGATGCCGTCTTTATCTCGTCAATCGTAGCGTAACGTCGTCCTTTCATGGGCCTCATTTTTGATCTTGGGGAACAAGAAAAAGACACGTGGGGCCAGATCTGGGGAATACGGTGGCCGCGGCATCATCCACAAATCCAGGCGTTCGCGCAAATTGCGCATAACTTGCAGGTAATATTCCTTATTAACCGTTCTACCCTGTGGCAAGAACTTATGCGGCACCACGCCCCTGCAATTAATTACTTCGTTTGTTGTTGAAGTGCTCGGACGTCCGGCACGCTCTTCGTCGTTCATATCTTCTCGGCCTTCTGAGAACATTTTGTACCACCGAACGTTGCTTCGGTCCAAGCAAGCTTCTACGTATGCCACAGTCAACATTCGGAATGCATCCGCGCACTTAATTTCGTTTTTCACACAAAATTTGATACAGGTTCTTTGATCCATTTTTTTGAATAGATAAAAATCGAAGACCATCCAAAACAAGTGCAAGCAAAGCAGCAATTAAATGAAGATTCAAAACGGCCGAGCTTGTCGGCATAAGTGACAGACATGAGTACCAACATAACGCCACAAAAAATCGAAATTCGATTATACGTAACCCGCGAAAATTCAAAACTCACGATACTTTTTGAACACACCTCGTATGTGTATTTCTGCATATCGTTTGCTTTAAACGACATATTTGTAATTTTGCTATCTATCAGCAAAATTATTTCTTTATTTATTTATGTAATATGTTTGCACAATATATTTTCCTTTTGTTTCACCTCTATTGAGATTCTTATATAACAACACAGCTGTATGTAAGTGGAAGAGCGTATTTCTGACATGAAATAAAAGCATCAGCCGTTCGGAGACGGTTTATTAAATGCTGTAAGTCCTCTTCGAAGGAAAATGTTAAAACCAAAAACCACAAATTGGAGGGTCAGTTCGGCCGAAACTCGTTTCAGCGATTACAAAGCTCTATTCTATGTATACATATATGTTATGACAATGAAAGCAAACCACAATAAAAATGTATAAATAGTTAAAAATCTGTTTATCGAAAGTAGTGGAGATTGATGACCCGAATAGAAACAATGTACTTTCTTTTATCAGAAACTTTCAGGTATATTAGTTATACATTTATAAGTAAGTACGGGAAAAAGTTACCGTAATTAAAAAAAAATGGCACGCAACTTGCAAAGTCGAATAAATGAAATCCCATAATAATAAAATTAATTTACATCTTCTAATAAAAAAAATGTTTGCAATGAGCGTGCAGCATTAGTCTTACTACTTAAAGAGCAAAAAAAAAGTATGCTGGTACCACTCTTTATCGTGCGATTTCTTTCAAATAACAAATAGAGGGACCTATAATTTACACGAGGCCGCCTTCGCACGGCAGATGACATTTATGAGCTGCTTTATATCATGTTAGAAATACACTTGGAGGAGTTGACATTCCCTGGCGACGGGTAACCACAGTTTGAATTTAATGCCGGAGAAAAAAATAAGAGCAGCCAATCTAAATAGACACTCCTTTTAAGAGTGTACAACTCCTGGATTATGCATATTACATGGCACCATAGGCCTTAACAACCGCGTGGTTAGTTCTGCCTTTTCCAGAGTTGATAAAGGAGTGCAATTTTGGGTATGGTAGTAAACGAGGGCAAGGCGAAATATCTTCTTCTATCTAGGAAGCAGTGGAGGTACTTATGGATTGTCTCCCACGTCAATGTTGGAGCAGAATTAACACCTTTAATAACGTCAGCATTACGCATTAATTACAGTGAATACCGAAGACGAAGAAGAGTTCAGTCAAAATATGATAGGTATAATTATATGTTTTGATTGGATCAGGACTCGAACTTTGTCCTTCCGATTAGTATTACATACTGCTGGTCACTCGGATATTTCTGGCCCTATCGCTAAATGTAAATAAGTAGTACTGAGTTGTTCAATTGAGAATGTCTGGGTCGAAATGTTTAAAATATTTATTTTCAGTTGTTGATAATAATCGGAATAACGTTTGCTCAATAAAAGCTAAACGTCAAAGTTATTTGTGATTTATGCTATATCATATTGTATTTCTTAGAGTGTAAAAGCAAGGAGAGACCTCCAAGCAATTCTTTTCGGAATGTACAGCTTAATTTTCTTATGCCTCAAGGTCTGAACAACCTAGAACACTTGAAAGTAGTCAACATGTTAGCATTTTTTTCTATGATAGTTCCAACCAATACGGTAATAATGAAAAGGATAATTATTTTAAAATCTAAATAATTTTTTTATAAAATTTAGACAATAAAAGGAGGGAAGTATGAGAGAATATGTTGACACGTTGTAACGTACCCGGTTCTCCGGTTTATAGCTGAGCTATCTCTCCTCGGATTATGGATCTCTTCTATTGTATAATTTCGATTCCCTAAAAAGACAATGTGAAGAACAACACGAGAGGTTCTACTTTACACAAATAATCTTTGTTTTTTTTTTTAGTCTTTTACTGGCAGCGTTTTAGCGTCACACCACATATCTTAAACCGTATCGTACTGGTATCGTTTGCACGTCACACCATATCTCTTAAACCGTATCGTACTGTCAACGTTTTTACGTCAGTCTTATACTTCTATCTACTCTTATTGGTAGCGTTTATAAGTCACACTATTTTCTCTATCTACGACAGCACAAACAGAAGTGTCTCATCACTGCTAATGCTGTTCGTATACATGTGCATATATTCTCTAAATGTACACGGTGTGTCCTAAAAATAACCGAACTTTATATTTAAATCATTCAAGATACAGCGTCATCTATTAAAAATTTGCAACATTAAAAAGATACATTCATCCTCTTTCAAACCCATCTAACGTCATGTAAGTCGGATGACAGATGTAAAAGTGGCAGCCATTTCAATAGAACCAAAAGTGTGCTAATGGTTCATAGATAAAATGGAACAAAGAGCAAATATAAAATTTTGTGTCAAACTTGAAAAAAATTAATGAAAAAAGTGTTTTGTTATGATTGTATGAGTCGTACGCAAGTTTATGCGTGGTTTACATGATTTAAAAATGGTCGTGAGGATTTAAATGATGACCCTAGAGCAGGACGTCCAGAAACTAGTAATCGTGCTGAACTGGTGGAAAAGTCCGTGAAATCATTCGCATCGATGCAAATTTTACTAAAAGAATGTTGGCTGAGGAATTGAATACGAGTAAAAACACTATTTGGAGAATTATAACTGAAGATTTGGCGAAAAGAAAGGTCTGTGCTCGATTTGTTCCACATGAATTAAATGACGACCAAAAAATCGTTCGAATTTTTAATGAAAAAAGGGATTTCTCTCATCCACCATCCTCCGTATTCGCTTGATCTATCACCATGTGACTTTTTGTTATTTCCAAAACTGAAAACCAAGATGAAGGGAGCATTTTATGATGATATCCCAGCCATTCAAGCAGCCGTAACCGAGATACTAAAGAACATTTCAATAAATGACATAAAAAAATCTATGCATGCGCTGGTTGATCGTTCCAAACGTTGTGTTGAGTCAAATGGAACCTAATTTGAATAAATAATAACTTTCAAAGATAATGTAATGTGTATTTTATTTTATATCCAAAAAGCTCGGTTATTTTCAATTTGTATATATTCAAATTCTGTTTATATATATTTCATTACTCTTGATGTTGTTGTGGAAGCTCCAAGACCATTGGCTTGGGGTCCTCACAACGTTTTTAAAGAAGGCCTATAACAAATAAATATTAGTTATTTAAATGAAAAGTTTTATTCACATCGGATTCTTTTATTTATTGGTAGTATACATTTTTTTCAAGTTCAAAAATATGAGTTCATATTATAAAAAATAGTATCGAATTCAATCAAATTTAAATCATATGTTTAAAAATTTTCGTTTTAAAATGTAGACAAAAATGTTAAGCCGGAAAATTCTACATGCTTGGTGCTGGTTCATTATGCCTGAAACGAAACATCATTTTCCACGTTGTAGTCGTATATGTGTATACATTATTTAAGGACTACACTTTCGGTCAAAATAGTTCCATGCTTCCTAAGATCCTATCTATGAAAATATATTGGACTGACCCAAGTTCTCCAAACTAATTTGCATATGCATAAAATATGGTAAGTGGCTTAAGAGTGAGGTTAAGTTTTTTTTTCTATTTTGTTTCCTAATTTTACCATTCTTATTTATTCCATAACTACTAAAGAAATTTGCATGTTTTCAATCTAATTTTGTTAATAAATATTTACAAATGGAAAGTTTGAAGATGGCTAACAAGCTGAACAAAAATTATATTTATGTTTATGCCACAAGATTTCAGGAATTATGTACGTATTAACGAATATTTATTTAGGACAGCAGCAATTTGTTCTTTCTAAACGTGAGGATAAAATTAGGGTTTTTTAATATAGTTTTTGACTTATGATGTGGATGCATTTGTAATTATGTTGTAATATTTTCCAATTGGTTTTGCTACGACTTCAGAAAAGCAATTAAATTTAACTTTCACATGAATTTCATGAAGCGGTCGAGACTGTTTATTTATTTTCTCATCACTAAAAGTTTTATTTATGCATCCTTCAAATTGCAAGCAATTTTTCTCTGTTTCTGCTAGGTAAACGGAACTTTTCCCTTTTTTTAAAACTATTTGATCAGCATATTTTGAACTCAACTTTTTAGGCAACTAAATGAAACAGTACAGGAGATGTTTGCTTAAATTAAGAGACAAAAACTGTAGTTGTTTTCTCTTTAAAATGAAAGCTAAATTAGCACTTTCAAACATTTTTAAATACTGTATGCCACTGCTGAAATAAGTTTACTTCAGTTGTGTTGTGTAAAATAGAAGATGGTCGTAACGATAAAATACAGAAATGAATTACAGATTTTATGTAAATGTCTAAGATTCAATTTAAATAGGTTTTAAGTTGACTAGCTAATCTGAAACTTGTGAAAATTTTAGCAGAAACTTTCTATCATTAGCAACACCTATGTTATATAATATTTTTATGTCAAACTCATCCTTCAATATGTGTTGTTAAGCTTGATATTTCAACAAAATAGATTACTTAAATTTACATAATTTCGGATGATGCTTTGTGCAGGATTCGAAACTGTGCTCTTTCAAGCTTTTTTATGCATTTCTGAACAAATTTATTTGATGCTAATGCTGACCCTCCAAAAAATATTTTCAGACTAACGGTCGCGTTGTTATAAAATAAGACAGATAAATAAATAAGTTTTCATTCATTGTAATTTCTGATTTCGAATAATGATAGATTGCAAAATTTTCTAACATACGGTTTTAATTGATAATGGTAATTCACCGTGCGATTTCAAGTGATGAATCGTGTTTGGTGGATTAGTGTATCACTTTGCGAATCTCTACTGTAAAGAAGTCAATTTGATAGTTCATATTAATAGCTGTTCGAGCAGCAGTCCCGTCTGAAAGCTCCGCAGTATTTCACATATCGAGACATATGATTTTCATAAAGTATAATTTTATGTAATACTGGGTGACCCTGCCACTCGTTGCTGTGGGTTGCGTTTTTTAGGTTATGGTTTGCATTAAACTGTTTAAGAGGAACGGTTGGAGAATGTCAGCAATGGGGCCATCATGCTTTTTTATATTGATGGCTTTTATAAAAAAAATATTGCGGCATCCATGATTTTCTACTTCGGTAACCTGTTAATATGATGGAATATGAAAGCGTTAAAGCTCGTATAAGAAATCAGTGGACTGCAATTTGAATAAGAAGGACTTTGAACACGATTGATTAAAATTTTCGTACTAGTGATATTAAGCAAAAATTAATGAGGTAGGTGGGGCAAATAGGCGAAATTCTTTAACCATAATTCTTATTATTATGAATTATAAATGTTTTTGAATTATATTCAATTTAGCACTAATCAGTGCACAGCATTTTTGGTTAAACTGTTTTTAGGTAACACAAGCAGACTCGACGGTTTCCCTATAAGTGCACATGCCACATATAGTTGCCATAAGAAAATTATGGGTTTTCCAATCCAAACTGTATATGGACATTATTTGGCCTTGATACTCCTTTATAGACATGGCGAAAGCTAAAAGAATTGGAAGCTATATCTTTCTGAAGGGTATACAGTTGCCCACAGTGAAAATGGTCCACCTGTTACTTTTTACTTTAGCTGAAAAAAAGTCTGGGAAATTAAAAAAAATAGCAAAATCGTTTTATTCACGTTATAAATATAAAAAAAAAAAATTATTTTATTCAAATACATTTTATTTAGTAAGCCCTTAACAAAATAAAAGAGAAAATTTATGTCACAGTGAAAATCGTCCATTACAGCAACTTTTAAATAAAGTACTATACAACTTATTGATTAATGTTGGATTTTTAGCAAAAACCGAACGTTAAACAATTTGCGATAAATTCCGCTAGTTTTTTTGTATATTCCAGACTTATTTTACCCGATTTTTCGAAAAAGGCCTTTTTGAAATCATCTTTGTTCGATATATTATGTTTCCTTATTTCAATTTCCAATTTATGCCAAAAGATTTCGATTATGGTGATATCTGGTGATCGGTCGGTTTGATTACTATAGGCAATGATACAACAATCATCCTTTCACGATTCCTGCCATGTGTTTGAGATCGTAGTCTTGGTAAAAATTATATGTATCTTTCATACCAATTTTTTTTGCACTTTGTACCAGGTTATTTTTCAAAATATAATATTTAGATATTCATATTTGTCTATAATCCCATTCACAAAGTGCAATTTACTAATACCGGCAGCCGAACAAGCACCCCAGACAATCTTGCGGCCACCACCGTGTATAACTGTTGGGCGCAGATACCTGGTTGGGTTTCCTCCAAACGTTTATTCTGCCATCCGACCTGTAATATCAAGTCTTTCTAAAACGAAAATTCTCTCCCAAAAGAGGAATGTGCAAACCGCAATCGCAAGTTTTTATTCTTCATGCTAGCAAGGAGTTTCTGTCGAGCAATCCTACAGTTTAGTCCATCCCTTCGAAGGACTCTTCGGATTCTCTCGGCATTACAATTTATTTTAAATTGATTTGAATTGGTACACGCAGCCAGGAATCAATTTTGCTTTGTTTGATAATCCACCTCCCTTGACGCTCGCTAAACAACTTTCTTGGGCTAATTTTCGGTTTATTTATTACACGTTTTTCATTTGTTAAATCGGTAAATGATATTCTCTACTATTGTTCCAGTTTTTTTAACAATTTTTGCGATTTTTCATTTTAATAATGTTCAATAATTGAATTTCGCAGCTCAATAGAAGTTTGGCGACCTATCTTGAAATTAAAAATTAAACAATCAACAAATAAATAAAACATGTTCAGCGACATGAATTATCCCTCTTATCTTGTTAAATGCTTATTTAAAAAAGAATGAAATCGAAAATAAAACATGTTTTCATGTATTTACAACTTAAATAAACTGAACTTATGAAATTAACTAGTTTAATTGCCATTTTTTTAAATTCCAAGACTTTTTTGTAGCTAAAAGCGTTTGGTTGCAGGTGGACCATTTTCACTGTGAGCCACTGTATATGGATTCAGATTCCATGACCGTATCGTTTACTTTAATCTTCATATTTAAAATGTTTGTTTCATGAACATCTCCGATGATCTTTTTGATGACCAAATGCGTACCGTTGCTTGATTGAGGTGGATTCAAATTACATAATATGGGAACTAATTTTGAATTGAATATTGTGTGCTAAAATTCTAGGTATATCTGTTGAGTTTAAAAATTAAATTCGAAAATATACACTTTCATTTCCATCAACAGCAATCTCAATTGAAAACAACTGGTATATCTAGCAGTGAATTTCGTCAACATCAAAATTTTTGGATGTCAAAATCGCCCGTTGACAGAATCAATTATGATTCAAGTAATTATTCTTTATACATAGAAAAATACTCTGAATCAATTAATTTTTTTCATAACAAACTGGATGCAGAAATTTTTCAGCAGTTAAAAGCATTACGTATTCGGTTACAATTCTATTTTAACATTCATAATATCTAGTAATTGTTTAGAAAATATTTTTGCTGATGGATCATTTTGCAATCGTACGTGCATATTTATGGTTAACCGTTACTCTTAAACACTACCCATAAGAAGATTTTTTCAAACATGCAAAGTAGAGCGAGATACAACCGGTAAGGTCAGTCGGAAATCGCCACCACATTACCACCGAATTTATTTTTGCCGCTAAATTTTGCAGAGATCTATGCAATGTTTCGAGTAAATATTTGTAAGCCATTTCGAAGTCGTCCCAAATTATTATTGAACTCTTCCGTAATACTGCAGCGGTTTAACATGACTGCGCCGTCTATTGATTACTTACTAAATCCAACCAACAGATGTCGCCCTCTGTTTGTGGCTAAGAGATAATTGTGAAAGTCAAATAATAGACAAACAATTTGCAATAAAATAATATTGCAAATATAACTTAAGATCTAAGCTATCTTATCTTCCAAGTTGGATCAAAGTTTACAAAATAAGTAGGCAAACTTGTTTAAAATCGGTTGAGTAATTTAGAAGTTTATCGCGGACAAACAACGTGACACCTAATTTATATATGTATGTTAAGATAAATAGTATTTTATTTTTTTATAACAGAAAATTTTTTTAATAATGTACGTGTTTAGTCAAAATACTTTGTTATTTAATATATTTGACAATGCGGTGTTCGGATGTATAACAAGTAAGTTTTTTTCAAGATATACTATATCATCAAAATTAAATAATAATAATATTTCAAGCAATCAATTTTAATTACAATAAAAAGCTATCGTCAGTTGAAATTGAAGTAACTATTGAATCATTTCAAGTTCTTCCAAACAGCTCATTATGGCCACTTGTAGCTGCTAAATGACAATTTAAAAATAAAACTATTAAGGAAAATTATTAGAGTTTTGCTCGAAAACCTGCACCAACAGTATCTTTTATAAAATGGTAGAGGCCTGAATACCAAATTAACTGATCTTTACTTG